CACACACACACACACACTCTATCCAGTCCCATTGTAGCTTAGTTTCACCCAGCAGGCTTTGTGGCTAAGAGGGTGATGACTTTGGTTTTGTGGAAATAAAGGAGGCTAAAGTCAGGGGCGAATAATTAACTGCCCTCGCTCACATAGATGTAAATGTACAGGAGGGTCACAGCAGTCCGGCTGCTTCACATCAGTTAGTTCATCATTAACCTATAGCTATAAAGCTATATCTTTAACTGACTGTAACGTTGGTGACATTTAATTAGTCACCATTTTCTATTCAGAATGATCAGTCTGTTAGGAAGAAATAGACCAACCAAAGATACAGGTAACGCCATCAATCGCAACAGAACAACCACAAATATCCATAAAGACTAAACAAAAGCACCAAACACACTTTCACTTTGCTTCTCAACTTCAAAATGATTTAAATCCATGAAATGTGTTAAGTACGTTTGTTTGTAACTTCATTTTTATGCATATAAATGAAGGGAGTACACGGTAGTTATTTGGTAGTTAACGCCAACATATGTTGCCCAGTAACTCGACACACATCAGCAACGTTGAAGTTAGAGCTGAAAGATTTTGTGAAATAGACAGAAAATTAATTGGACTTTTTATTTCCCTCAGATTGCATCAGATCGTTCTCGAATATGAGCAGTTGCTGGTTTCTTTGTCACGTAAGCGTTAACTAGAGCTCTTTGAGTTTTTACCTCTTCGTTGACATAACAGGCATTACAAACTCTACCCACTCTGATGGGTTTATTATTATTTCTCACGTTTTGATCAATGAAAATAATCTCCCATTGTTAATTCGTGGAGCCTCGTGTGGGTTCCCCGTTAGCCCCACTGTAAGATCTTTGGTTTGAGTAATCCTGTCTGACTCATGTTCACCTCACAGACATACTATAGGCCTCTCCATTGTAACCCACAAGTAAACACAGACTCTCACCTGATTCCTCACTCACTGATTCTGGCTGGCTGTCTGCCACAGTGGAGGATACGTGACCTTGCTCAGAGAGGTTCACTGCCAGGCAGCAGGCAGCTGCACCAATAAAGTGGGCCATTATTTGAATCACATGCTCCCAAACTGGAAAATGTAGGAGCATTAGAGGAGGACATAGATGAGAAAGACGGCTTGTAATGTCGACCCACATGTATCTGTAATCTGTTTCTTGGGTGGTATAAACATCAGTTATGGAGCGTTGGGGGGTATTGTTGGTGGAAAATTACTAATCTGAGAGGCGAGTCATTTCAAGAGCATAGAATAAAATGTGTGATGACGACAGTGTTGGGTCAGCACCTACAGGAGGTTGAGGTTTTAAATGTTCATGTTGGGCTGCCGTTGCACATTGCTTAATCACTCCTGTACCTCCGCCCGCCCAGGTACCTGAGCCGTGTGTTTGGCATGCACCCTAAGGAGACTGCCAGACAGCTGAGCTTGGCCGTGAAGGACGGCCTGGTGGTGGAGACCCTGACTGTTGGCTGCAAGGGCTCCAAAGCCGGCATCGAGCAGGAAGGATACTGGTTGCCCGGGGATGAGATGGTAAGTCTAACGGGTTCCAGACACACAACGGTTGAATCCTTTGTCTAGATTCTGTCTTATTATTCACCAAAAGTGAGCAGATTCATCCTTTTGTTTGTCAGGTGTTTATCTGGCGTCGGTGCCTGTGTGTTCACATTGTGAGCAAATCCCTGGAAGTTAAGAGTTCTCACAGAGCTGAATGTTGAAGGGAACTTTGAAAGTTTAATTACAGCTTCTTGGTTTCAGTGGCCTCTGACAGCAAACATGACGTCTTGTTTCCCTCCTGATGGGATCTAGTTTCATGATGTAGTTTTAAAACCTTTATTAAAAAAGGTTTACAGCTGCAACTAATGATAAGTTTAATTCTGCTGATTATTGTTGTGGTTGATACATTAATAATTTGCTTTAAAATAAAACAAAAAACATCAGGAAACAGTTTCCTAGAGCTGAGTGTAATGACATTAAATATCAGTTTTTAAAACATTAAAACATATTAATTTTACTGTAATGTTAGACAAGGAGAAGCAGAACGTGCGGACATTTGATGAGCTGGAACCAGACAAAGACTACTCCAATGATTCATCAGCTTCTTAAAATAGTTACAGATCAATTTTCTATTGATAGACTAATCAACTAATTGTTTCCAGCTCTATAAAGGTTACAATAATAAACAAAATCTCAAAAGCAACACTAGAAAAATGGCTGTTGGAACTTTTTTAATTTTATGAATAGAGTTATTCTTTCTTTGGTTTAGAACTTGAAACATTTTGCTTTGACAAACGTACCACAGGAGCCACGACTGAGACCACGCGTCCTACATCGTGCAGCATCAGGATGTAGCCACCCATCTGTCAGGTTGCTCACAGTGTGAACACAGTGTTAACAGCCACAGCACGCAGACGTTACATGGAGCAAACATTACTGTGATCAGCGATCATGTACAAGTATAAAGTTAAGAAATAAGAGCAGAAAAAGAGAGATATTTTAGCCATCAAGGACTTTAAAATGTGGAAGCAGCCTTTAAACAGTGCAGTGTGTTTCTCTGGACTTGCTCAGCAGCCGGTTGTGATATTAATATTTTGCTCGTCATTTGAAGTCTGTTATTTCCCTTGTTAGTTGTGAGGAACGGTGATGCTTTCACTTGTCTCTGTCACAGTAGCTCTGCACTCAGTGGGAGAATCCTCATGTTTTCTGCTATCTGTAATGCAAAGAGCACTTAATGGATTACTGTGCAAGTGGCATTAACATGTAATTGGTGGCTGCTTTAATCCCAGTGCTTTTTGCACCAGGTGCTAACACCTGGGAAGTATCCGTTATGCTTTACTCATTAACTGCACCAGCACCATCTGAGCATTATCATGCAGGGAAAACAGGAATAACTAATAATATGATAGGGAACTTAGCTTCTTTTCTCAGCTCTAACATGAACTAGTTTGCCTAAACAGTGGTTTTGATTTAACATGCTCAGGTCTATATTGACTCAAGGTAGATTTAGTAGATTCAGTCTTTGCATCTAAGCAGCCAGGGGAATGGTGGAGCATGAGAGATGGGGGATTTGAATAGTTGTGGGCTCTGTCTGTATTGTGTGGTGTCAGTAACAACATATTTACATGATCTGCTGTTCAAATCTGGCCTCTCAAGACACAACACTGTTGTCCAGCGGAGCTCAGGTCCTTTTATTAGCAGCAGGACTTTTAAACACTACTCTCTGAATCACTTGCAATCACAGGAGCCGAAAGCCGAGGGAAGCAAGGTAAGGGCTGCATTGTTCTTCTCCAATTCAGGGTTTGTTCTTCATTTGATCACTTCATTTTCCCCCGCTCTCAACTAACATCATTCTGTGAGAAATCGGTTCTGCCACATGCAGTGCAGTCAGGGATTGGAGTGAATCTTTTTATGCAGGTTGCAAACAGCATACAGTATGTTCTGGTGAGTGCACACGTTGTAGGCTGTGTTAAAGCGATGCAGAAAGCCTTCAGTGCCAGTGGCGAGAAATTCAGTCGTCTTGCACTTTGTAATGCTTGTGATTCCGCTCGCTGCAGCTAAATGAAATTATCACACAAGGTGAAAGCTGAAAAACATATCAGGTTTCCATTTGGACCTTTGTCTGCATGCGGGCCTACAGTACAGAATTAAACCCACTGCCAGAAGCTGCTTGCTGTCCTTCACTCACACTGTAAAAAGCTTCATGAAAGTCCATTGCAGCGCTGTGTCTACGTGGCCAAATTTCTTGTGGAAGTGATTTGATGATGATGAAATATGTGCTCGCTACTCATCTACAGATGTGCCGTTGCTTGATTTCTTTATTTTTTAAACACACAAACAGTCCCTTGGTCCGGCTCTAAGCTGCGTCCAGTGCTTGGCTTTCAGACACCGCCAACTAGAGTCAAACATCAAGTGTAAATTACAGCTTGAACAGTAATTGAATCACATTTTAATGTGAGATCACAAGCAATGCTAGCATAGCCGCAGGTTGGTAGCAAGCATCTGTGCGTTTGTAGTATTTTGGTAGTTGTAGTTCTCCTCAGAGGAGGTGTGTTCTGCCGTGTTCTTAACTTCTGTCTGGCATGCTTATTTTCCTTTTTTCTTCATTTAATTGATGAAACACAGTGGAGGTGGGGAGAGGGAAGGAAGGGGTGGTTGTGGTTTGTGTGGTTGTGCGCTGTAGTTTTCTCGATGTCTGCTTCTAGAAACACAGCCGGCTGGTTCTGTCAGGCTCGCAGTCAGTGGACAGAGTTTAAATGTGAGAAACACTGTAGAGCAGTAGAGACAGCCCCCCCCCCCCCCNNGCAGGTGCCTGGATTCAATCCAGCTGGCATGTGCTGTGTCCTTGTGTCGACCGCAGGAATATTTACTCAAACAGATAACCGCACATTTACACACTGATCATAACATTTGAAACGGCAACAATTCAGATTCTTGAAAAACAAGTTTTACATGCACTGCCTCTAGTCAGATTGGATTAAATCCAGGTTTCCCCCAAAGTGATTACCTTTTTATCTGTGAATTCACACCCTGAATTTCCTTAAAACAACAATTGGATGCTTTGTTGATAAGTGATGGAAGTTAGTTTAAACTGATTACAATCGGCACACTGGTGATGCATGTTAATAAATGTGATATGATGTGTTGATGCACTTTGACAGTAAGAACTTAACACACTGTAAAAGGGATCAAATCCACATTATTTCATTTAGCTTACTAACACATTGTTCTGACGAAGCTGAATGAACTTCCTTGCAAACACTGTGTTCATCTTTACACCCTCCTCAGTGTTTTTCACACTTTTTTTTGAAGGCTGCTCTCAGATCAGTTTATCACAGTTGTGTAATAACACTGTTGGTACTGAGCGCGGGGTTTCATAACGGAGGCGGTGCCACTTTGCTTAAAACAAAGACCACCTCGGCTAACATCAAACAGTTTCTACACTCATGTAATAAAACACTAAGCCCTGGGGAAGAGGAGGAGAGCTGCTGTTTCACACAGTTAATGCTACATTTAAAGTGGTTCACCATCTCAGTCAGACTATTTCCTGAATATACATTGATATTTCTTTTGTACTGTCACATATTTTACCATATCATTTTGTCTTTTCCTTTAACATCATAGGCAGTGTTGCAAATCACTGAGCAGGACTGCTTAATGGTAATATTGGACTTTATATGAATTCTTGCATCAATGTGATTTAAGTGCTTTGAAGTTATTTGTCAGGTATTTCTTTTGCTTAAAAAAAAGCCAAAACAGACATTCATGTTTGGTGACTTTATCCATTAGAAATACTGTTGTTGTGTTATGATATATACTGACATTCATTTACAATTACCTGTACCATGAGAGAGGATTTTATCCATGTTGCCCACCTGTACCTTCAAGTGATATGTAGTAAAAAATAAATATATAGGATCTCATTTGGAGTTTGATTATGCATGTGAGTAAATTGGTGGCTGTTGTGCAAAAGTGATGTGCCTCATTTGTGAAATCCACCAACCACTAATAGCCTAAATGTGCACCAGCCAAAATCCTGAAAGAGTTTTAAAAATACGTATGTGTAGAAACCTTGGTACAACCTGTGAAGGTGCATTTTTAGACAGCCAAACTACAGGTGAAGCTAGTTTACCTTTTAGAGAAGCAGGCGGTGGAGATGTATCCTGGAGTTGTTTTGTGCAGGTCATTAGGAGGCACGCTAACCCCGCCGCTCAGCCTCGCTCGGCTCTGTGGCGTGTCCCAGCTTGACACTGACAGCGCAGAGCTGTTAACCAGAGAACGAGCGCGGTGGGAAAGATGACTGAAGGCAGCCAACACTCTGGCTGCCTCAACTCCTCCACCATTATCCAAGCTCCTGCCTTTGTTGGCAGCTGTTAGTCAAGGCCCATTTCTCCCTCTGAAAAGCACTGAGGTATTTCATGGAAGTTTAGAGAAGTTTTAGATTTTCTGGCTTTGTTTTTTCCCCTGATTTTTTTTATGTTTTAGGTAAATTTGAGGGCTTAAATATTTTTGAACTTGGATTAAACACAGTTTTATTAGAATATATTAACTTTTTAATTAAACATTCTGATGTTTTGCTGTTATTTTAACGTTCAGTGGTACTCAAACTTTGTCGCTGTAATAAGATCCGGTTTGCTTGGGCCCAATACTATCAGCACTCCTGACTAAACTCCCCTGCTGAGACACTCTGTCCTGGGCTCCAGCCGTTTGAAGTCAGCCACTTGTCTTTCATCAGACGGTCCAACAATAGTGAAGTGCCTGTTGACATTCGACAGAACTCGAGGACCATTTCTGTGTTGTCAAGTGTTTGTGTGGGTGAAGAATCTCTTACGCTCTAAAAAGTAGAAGTCCTTTGAGGAAACTGTGGATGGATTTCATCCACGTGTGTATATTCGCACATGTAATTGTCGTTAATTGTGAACCCTGGAGAAATTTCCCTCCTTCAGGTCTGTTCATTTGGGAATATGAATGGGGCGGTTGCCTCAACGTGTTCCTAGATGAACCCTGGGAGAGAGAGTGTGCTATAAATATATGATCACCACTGAGTATATTGCTAACAAATCTGTGTATAAACCAAAGAATGACCTAAAATGTAACAATCCATAATCCTATCTGATCGTACTGCCTGAAGAAAATGTAGCCTACAAAGATTATACACCTACAATATATTGGCCAATTTATCAGTCAGTTTATCGCAGGTGTATCGTTATCAATGTATAAATAAGAAGATGTGTCTAAGAGTTTAAGGATAAAAATCAAAGGAATTCTTCTAAAAAAAGTTGTCTATGTTCGTTATGTGCAGTGTACGTACGAGAAAAGGAAAATCAGCTGCTATATTGTCAAATTCTTTATTGGCGTCAAAAAAACGGTCTCTGGATTTACTTTGAATGTTTTTAAAAGATTTATTACAGACAGGACTTTTACAAAAAGCGTTTTGAAAACATCCACAATGACCAAAGCTTCTCTATTAATATATTACTTTAGGGCTGCAACTAATTGTCATTTACCTGATCAACCATATCAGTTATTCTTCTGGTAATTACTTTAGAGTCTTTGAAGCCTTGAAGTTGTAAAGACGAACGTCCCATCACGTTTCCCTTTCTTGATCCTGGTGAGGTATCAAACAGTTGTAGCTGATCCTTTAAAAGGCCCCTGAGGAACCCCTGGATTTCAGAGTGTAGAGCGCTTCCTCCTGGCAGGTCCTGCTTCTGATCAGGGTCTTTGGTGTTGCAGCCTCACTGGCACAGCGAATGTCAGAGCTGTCTTCACTCATTTGTCCTCATGACTATTTATGGTTGTGTTTGGCCTCGTTTTACCCCGAGACTTCCGATGAAGGCGCTCTAGTCCAGATTGGTTTAAATCTGCACGTGTGCTTTGAAACAGAAGAACATGCTGCAGCGTGCATTCTCGTGAAAGTCTTTGGTGTAAAGACACATTCCCGATAAGATATTCTCCTCTGAGATCAATCAGTCTGCTTCCTCCAGTCCAGTCCAACCCCAGCCACATGAACACATGGAGAAAAAAATCAAGAAAGAGAGTGAAGTGCTTTTAAATTTTTTTTTTTAAGCTTTCATTGAGTGACACTCAGTCACGACTCGCCTGCTCTCCCCTACTGAGTCGGTCCAGACTGTGAGTGGGAGGAGTTGGACTCTTGACAGGTTGAGGAGTTGAATTTTTAGCTGTTCATACTTCCGTCTCTGTGCCCTTCACTTGAACCCATGAATGAAAATTAGAATAAAACAGGACTACTGTAACGGGTGTCTGCAGGTTCTTAAACATTTAATAATCAGATTTTTAGACCTTAAAATATCTTAAATATGATTTTAATTAAATAAATGATTGGATTAATGAAGTTAATGTTGAAGCTGAATCTATCTCGCTTTTTTTTATTAATCATGCTGAAACAACGACAAAGCAAAATCAACATATAACCAATACTGTTTTTTCTTTATATCCTAAGTACTTTTTTACTAGTATGGAAGTGAAATAGGTCTTTCACTGCATTCGTAACAGTGTTAAAAAGTCTTAAATTTAAGTAGTTGAAACCATGTATAAATAATGCACTGAATAAGTTGTTAATCTGGCCTCACTCTCATCCGTTCAGCACCTTCCAACCACAAATTCAAACGCTCCAAAAATGAAGAAATGTCTGGAAATGATTCAATAGATCTTTTTTTTTTAAAACAGATTAGTGTTTGGCAGTAATTCAACCACACATTCATATATACATCAGTTTTTTTTTGCTATTGACACCCAGCAGCTCCACTTGCTGAAAAGCTGCTCAGCCTTATTTTAATAGAGGAGGAGATTTATTATTCTCATCCGTTTTTCCCTCTCAGTTCCTTTTAGCTGCTTCACAGTTTGAATTTGAGACCTTTCGGCTAAATGCTATGAACTCCACGCTGTCACCGCCTGCTGTCACTGAGGCCAGTGTGACTTGTCTAAATGAACTTCACAAAAATCACTTCAGTTTCTTTATTCTTCCTTCACTGAATACCGCTACTCTTCTGTATATTTCCATATTCACATTCAGGAAGATTTAAAGTTTAAGACTGTGTGAAAGTTTCTGTTCAATTTGGATTTAGAGTGCTTCGTGTGGAAATGAAATTAAATGGTGTATTATGAAGTTGCTGGTGAAAATACAGAGGAATGAGAGTGCAGATATAACAGTTGTGCTACCAGATCTGGAGCCATTGGTGGAACCAGCTGGAATTGTCTAAGCAGTACTAGGATTTGTTGGATTGATGCATTTTGGAACAACTCCAAAGTAGTGAAATATTTGTATACACCTGCAGCCACTTTAACGAGACACCAGCCAGTGTTCTCTTGTATTTGGCGTTAACCTAACCTCAGGATGAAGAGAGTTGTTTCCTCCCCTGCCGTGCTTAGGCGGGTTGGAGGGGGGGGTCACCCAAACTTGTGCTCTGCCGTGTCTTCCCTCCAGGAGTGGGAGACGGAGAGCCACGACTGGTACTGCTTCGAGTGTCACCTACCGGGCGACGTCCTCACGTGTGACAACTGCTTCCGGGTTTATCACCTCAAGTGTCTGTCGGAGGACTTCAAGCCCAGAGACGGAGGATCCCACTGGCAGTGTGTCGTCTGCAGGGTAAGGCGGTCAAACCTGGAAGTGTGTGTGGTTGTCATAATGGGTATTATGTCTGGTTTTTATGAGTAATGAGCATGTTTTTGGAAAGGAAAGACATTTTGTTCAGTCTTGATTATTGGGCCATTTGAGGATTAAGAAAAGGTTTTAGGGTTAATGTTAGAGAATGGGGACAATGTACATTCAGTCATTTTCTTTCTGTTAATCCTTCCACGGGGTCTTTAAAAAGTCTAAAATCCAATCATCCAATCATCCAATTGATTTTGACAGGTCTTAAGTTAACATTATCAGTTATCAGTCTTTCATCAATGTATATTGATCATGCTGCAACAACTACAAAACAAACCCAACATGGAACCAATACCAGTTTTCCTTCATATCCTTCGTACCTTTTTGCCAGTATGGAAGTGAAATAGGTCTTAAAAGGCATTATATTGAAAATTATATTAAAGTGAATTTCACCTGTTGAAACCTGTAAAACCTCCTTCCACACTGCTATTACAGTGATACTTTCTCTGTCGGAACTCTTCATTATGATCATATTTAATAACATTCCTGTAATAACCCAGACAAAAACAGTCAAACATGCTGACTACCTTTGTCTTAACCTCTTTACCCCAGTGACGGTGTTATTTTCATTACATTTAAGTAATGAGTTCACTGCAGAGACAGTTTGTTGTTAGTGTCAGTATTTTTAATTGAAACCAACGTTGGTGGTTGTTTTTCACCCTTCAATAAACTATTCCTCAGTATTTCTCTTTCTCACTTTTAATTATGTCGCTCTGTTTCTGTGTGTCTGAATATTCTTATTCCTCTTTTAACTTCCTGTCTCCGCTGCCAGGTTCTTGCCTTTGTATATTTCTGACATTGTGTGTGTGCAGTACAAAGTGTGTCTATGTACTCAAGTGGGTTACAGGGTCAGATCAGAACCCGCTGTGGTTCTAAACTTCCCCCTCTCTCCTCTTTTCTCCACATCATCCCTCCTTCCTCCCTGCAGGGAAGTAAAAAGAAGAACCTGAACAAACAGGAGATGAGTAAATACCTGCGCTTCATCGTCCAGCGTATGAAGGAGAGGGTGAGAGCAACCTTATATTTATTTCTACCTCATGTATCTCTTAATTCTTGTCATGTTTCTTAAGAGAGATGTGTTCATTCTCAGCAGATTTAGGCTCTGCTCTGCCACTGCGAGCTGCATGTTTTGCATGGATTTGGATGAAATTTGAATCATGTCAGATGAATTTTCACCATTGCATTTAAGCCAGTGATTCCACGCAGTCATTACCAATTGCTGTATCACTTTTAGCCACGCTTTGAATGCTGTGCACTGGGCCTTATTGGTCAGAGTACTGTTTTGAAATGAGAAAACCAAAATCTGTAAGTTGTAACTGTTTCCCGACTACCATTTACAAATATGGGGAACAAAATGGGTTATGTTTTCAGTTTCTTTTCTAAACAAAAAATGGAAAACCGTTTTTTTCCCATTTTCTGTTTTTTATTTTCAACACAAAAGTAGAAAACCGCCTCGTTTTTGGTTTCTTTATTTCTAAACGAAGATCCATTGGCAGCAGACTACACTGACCCTTATTCTTTAATGCCACAATAAGCAGCACAGGTTTGTTAACGTTTACACATAGCAGCCCATCCACTCAGGAGCTCGGAGGCACTTACATGTGTTTTTCTTTATTTGGATAATAAAAAGATATTAATAATAGATTTGAAACCCATTTTAACATTTAGTTCGGCCTTAAATCTGCACTGTGGTTGTGGCTCCTCACTCCCCTCCACAAAAAAAAATCCCCTTCATTCTCCTCCCATTACGCCTTCCTCTGTCTCCATCTGCTTGCTCATCTCCTCTATCCTTCCTTCAGTCTCTATAGAAGTCTCTTTACTTTTCCTCCGCCTCTCTTGTTCTCCCCCTTCCTGTCTCACTTCATCCCACCGCTCCCTATAAAAATGGTATTAAAGCTCATCTCATTGACCCTCCATGATGCCTCCATCTCTGCTGGCCACACATGTGCCTGCTTCATTACTCCGTCTAACACCCTCCTCCTCCTCCTCCTCTCGATGAAGTATTAAACCATTATCCCTCCTGTACTTTGCAGGCAGTGGACCTGAACAAGAAGGGCAAAGACACTAAACATCCAATGTACAAGCGGCTGATCCACACTGCGCTGGACGTCTCAAACATCCAGGAGGTAACATCATGCCCAGCGTCATTCTGTGAAACCTGCAGTATCTTTACACTGGCCTAACACTTTATCTACTTCATTTGTTTCTTATTTACCTCTATTGACTTTATTGTCTGTGATACTGAAGACATACACTCTTAGCCACTAGTTTAAGGATTATCTGGTATTTGTATGTGTATTTATGGATGTTTAGCAGTGGACACTGGAGACTAATCATATTCCAGTGTATATTAATAACAATGAAAGTCTTGAGTCACACTGAATCTAAAAATATGTGTATCATGCCTGTTTGCTTCGATGTGACTGAGAGCCGACACAAACACCAGTCCTCCCATTCATTGAGTGGGGGTAGTCGGTGGCGGGGGGGCTGCAGGGGATACTGAAAAGAAAAACAAAAAGTTGAAACAGAATCAGATTTTAGAGAAACGTCGTACTGCAGTGGCCAATCCGACGTGAGTACCAGTTCCACTGCTCCACAGTGAGCCAGAAACAAACCAGGGGCTATCCAGGCAGAGGTCGTTAAACAAACGGTGAAACTCTCCAGTTGTGTCCTCGCTTCGTTTATTTTGTGTACACGGCTTCGATGTGTGTCTGGCCTGCAGTCTGTGGGTTATGAGGAGAGCTAGTGAGAAAGCATCAGAGAAATAAACCCTGTTTTCTGCTTGTTTTACACATTTTGATGCAAATTGCAGCAATCAGGGACTCTGGGTTTAAAGTACCTTAACTGCCTCCACGAGGTGTGTCAGAGCTTCAACTCTACAGCGCCCCCCCGGGGAGACGCCCCCTCACAGTTTACAAACCTCTGGATTAAACCAAAGATTATTAGTATTAGATATTTATCTGAACTGCTAAATGTTTTATTCACTTGATTTTTTTTTATTTAATTTTAATTTATTTTTAAATAAATTGTTGTGAATTAGAATTGTGGTCTGTGGTAAGTTCAGATTTTGTGTTGAGTTTGAGTTTGAGTTTGTGTGTGTGTGTCGTGTGGTGTGTCGTGTGTGTGTGTGTGCTGTGTGTGGTGTGTGTCGATGTGTTTTGGTGCCTTGTGGAGTGTGTCGTGGAGTGGTGGTGTGGTGTGTGTGAGTGTTGTGAGTGTGGTGTGTGTGTGTGGGAGTGTGTGTTGGAGTGTGTGTGAGAGTGAGAGGTCAGAAGGACTCTGCTGTGCTGGTGGTCAGTGGTGGCATTCACAGCCCAGCCTCTGCACGACACACTGGGCACTCGGCCCAGACCCTGTTGTGTGTGTGGTGTTACGCCG